GCCTTCGGCACAGGTCATGATCCCAGTGTCCTGGGATCGAGTCCCACATCGGGCTCCTTGCTCGTCAGGGAGCCTGCTTCTCCCTCTGCCTCTGCCTGCCATTCTGTCTGCCTGTGCTCGCTCTCTCTCCCTCTCTCTCTCTGACAAATAAATAAATAAAATCTTTAAAAAAAAAAAAAAGTTAAAAAAAAAAGATTTTATTTATTTATTTGACAGGCAGAGATCACAGGCAGGCAGAGAGGCCGGCCGAGAGAGGGGGAACCAGGCTCCCTGCTGAGCAGAGACACCCTCCCCCCATGGGACTCGATTCCAGGGCCCTGAGATCGTGACCTGAGCCACCCAGGCGCCCCCTGCATCGTGTTTTAAATGTAGCTCTTTTAAGTGGCATGTAATTTGTTTGCTTGTTTTTTGTGGGTGTTTTGGCATATGGAAATTTATTACTCTCATGTTTTCACCATCAGACTTAGGATCTGGGTTTTCCCTTCTGCCTTTGTATAAGGCCGAAGAGAGATGTTGGGTGTTTTGACAGTCTTAAATGTCACTGAGGGGCGCCTGAGTGGCTCAGTGGTTGAAGCCTGTGCCTTCAGCTCAGGTCATGGTCTCAGGGTCTTGGGGTCGGGCCCTACCTCGGGGCTTTCTGCTCAGCAGGGAGCCTGCTTCCCTCTCTCTCTGCCTGCCTCTCTCTCTCTGTCAAATATGTAATGAAATAAATTAAATCTTTAAAAAAAATACCACTGACCTCATGACCTTTGTGACCAAATCCAGCACCTACAGCTTCATCCTTTTCCTTGATAAAATTGAGGCGCGTCCTTGGGTTTCTTTTTGCCGTTCTGGATCAGCCGGACCCTGACGCACTTCTGACGGCAGAATTCGACTATTTGGCCTCAACTCCTGCTTCTTCCAGCACAGTTCCCTTTGCATGGGAAGTGTCTCCACAAGGGTGGCCCCAGGGCTATTCCCGAACGGGTTTTCTCCTACTGTTTATCATGTCGCTTCTGAGCTCGCAGGCGGCCGCGGAGCTCCCTGACCGTGTGGAGACGGGGCCTGTGCCCATCCCGCGGCGCCGTGGGCCAGCGCAGAGGACGGTTGTTGGTGTTAATCTTTCCCTGATAACTTACCACATGGAGCGTTTGGACCCGCACTTAATAAGAAAACTTGGAGTTTAGCTCGACTCTTCCATTTGCTTCTATTTGTCTTGCTGTTCTGTGTTTTTTCTTTCTCTTATTGCTTTCTTTGGATTGGTTTTTTAAAATTTCTGTTTTTCTTCTTTTTAAGAGTTTATTTATTTAGAGAGAGTGAGCAAACGAGCGAGAGCAAACACAAACGGGGGGAGGGGCAGAGGGAGAGGGAGCGGCAGACTCCCCTCCTGAGCGGAGGCAGATGTTTTTTTGTTTGCTTGTTTTTAATTTTCAGAATTTCAACTTTGCAAGAACCTTTTTTTTTAATAAGATTTTTATTTATTTATTTGACAGAGATCACAAGCAGGCAGAGAGGCAGGCAGAGAGAGAGGGGGAAGCAGGCTCGCTGCTGAGCAGAGAGCCCGATGCGGGGCTGGATCCCAGGACCCTGAGATCATGACCTGAGCCAAAGGCAGAGGCTTCACCCACTGAGCCACCCAGGCACCCCTCTGTTTCTCCCTTTTATTTGGCTAGTAATTTTATACTTTTGTAATTCTCATACTGGTAGAGTTTACAAAATGCATCCATGACAATAAAAATCTAAGGTATTTGGAGGTTTTGCCTGTAGATAACACAAAGGTCTTAGAACAATTTTTTTTTTAAAGATTTTATTTATTTATTTGACAGAGAGACACAGCGAGAGAGGGAACACAAGCAGAGGGAGTGGGAGAGGGAGAGGGAGAAGCAGGCTTCCTGCCGAGCAGGGAGCCCGATGTGGGGCTCCATCCCAGGACCCTGGGATCATGACCTGGGCCGAAGGCAGACTGAGCCACCCAGGCACCCTGTCTTAGAACATTTTAAATCTGTTTATCCCTTCCCTGATTTAGGTTATTATCTGCCCACAGTATATGTGGAACCTGGCAGGATGTCATTACTAATACTGATAAAGTCAGGTTTGCTGGGTGTCCTCTCTGTTTACCCTCTCTGCTGCCCGTGTTCTTCACTTCCTGTTTGAGGTAATTCACCTTGTTCCTGAAGAAAAGCAGTGTGGGTCCGTCAGCAGGTGGGTCTGCGTCCCCCTCCTTCCTGAAGAACTTTTCTCGTATGTGTGAAATTCTAGTTTGGCAATTATTTCTTCTCAGTACTTTGAGTATGTCTTTCTGCTCACTGTTTGAAAGACAGTCTTTAATCTTAGGCTGCTTGTAGGATTATGCTCTTTTCTCTGGTGGATGTGCTGTGATGGACCCGTATGTTGTTCTTGCGAACCTGTCCAGGTGTGAAGCCTCTTGGATCTGTGACCCGAGGTCTTTCATCAGGTTCTTCCAGGGCTGCTCCTGCCCATTGTCCTCCAGCCCAGGGCCCCAGATTACAGAACGTTTGGCCTTCTTACTCCAGACTTTCCCTCACGCGTATTTCTTTCTGTGCTTGTGCTAGATAGTCCTTTCTTTGTATTGTAGTGCATTAATACTCTTTGATTCTATGTAACATGCTGTTAAATTCATCCATTCAGTTCTTTATTTGGGTAATTATAGTTTCTGGTTTTAGAATTTCCTCTTTTTTTTTTAAAGATTTTATTTATTTATTTGACAGAGATCACAAGTAGGCAGAGAGGCAGACAGAGAGAGAAGGAAGCAGGTCCCCTGCTGAGCAGAGAACCCAATGTGGGGCTCAATCTCAGGACCCCGGGATCATGACCTGAGCCCGAGGTAGAGGCTTCACCCACTGAGCCACCCAGGCGCCTCTGGTTTTAGAATTTCTGCTTTTAAAAATAATTTCTAGTGTTTTGGTCAACATTCTAATTTTATCTTTTATTTTCCTGAATATGTTAATCATAGCCCTCAAATTCTGGGTCTGAAAACTCTGGGAGTCCTGAGTCTGCTTCTCTAGACATCGTTTCTCTTGTTTTCTGTGGTGTCAGCTCCTCTCTTGCGTCTTGTTGCTGTTGGTTGAGAACTGGACATGGTGTGAGAATAGGAAATGATGAAAGGCTTGGAACCATGTTCTCCTCTTCCACCCTCCCCAGTGTCCACCTCCTTGGTCCCTCTGCCATCCTCTTCAACTGACCACCTGCCCAGCGTACCCTGAAGACCTGACTTGAGTCCTCTCCTCTGTAGGTGGACGACGAACTTGAAATCAAGGCCTACTATGCAGGCCACGTGCTGGGGGCAGCCATGTTCCAGATCAAAGTAGGCTCAGAGTCTGTGGTCTACACGGTCAGTGGAAGCACATGGGGGACCGGGGCTACCGCTTGGCTGGGGAGAGGGGACACCCGTTTCACTGCCACATTCTTTGCCAGGGTGATTATAATATGACCCCGGACCGGCATTTGGGGTGAGTGAGCTGATGTGTTTGCTCCATCCTGCGGGAACCCTTAGGAGTGCAGTGAGGCTTGTGGATGTGCTGGGGGCTTGGGCACTCCGTGCGTTGGTTTCTGCCACATGTCCTCTGTGCCTGGCGAGTTTCTTCCTCCTGTCTTCCCCGGAGTGCTGCTTGCCCATGGGCCCAGGGAAGCCATGGCTGCAGTCCGCTGGGTTGCCCCTAGCCACAGGCACTGTGCACCTCCGGCCACACCCACCTCTGTTGCAGAGCTGCCTGGATTGACAGGTGCCGCCCCAACCTGCTCATCACAGAATCGACCTACGCCACGACCATCCGGGACTCCAAGCGCTGCCGTGAGCGAGACTTCCTGAAGAAAGTCCACGAAGCCGTGGAACGTGGCGGGAAGGTAGCGGGTGCAGGCCAGGTGCCGGGCAGGTCTCTGGGCCATGTGCCCTCCCTGACCATGCTGCACCGTCCTTAGGCCACGTCTGGCCTGTCAGGAGACGAGTGCCGTGCGTTCTGGGCGTGCGGGGAGCCTTGCTCAGCATTAAGAAGAGAAACTTCTCTGGAGACAAGTGGGGTGTGTAGTCACCTGTCCCCTCAGATCCCAGACCGGGACTGGCCCGGACTCTCCGGCAGAGTATGGGGGCCTTGCCTGGAGTTCGCAAAGGGCCTCTGGCTCTCGGGGGTGCCTGGCTATGAGCTCGCAGTGGACGCAGCCTCTGACCGTCTGGGCTCCCAGCAGGGCTGGTCTGTAGAGCAGCTGCTCCCTGAGAAGGCGGCCCTGGGGCGTGGCCCATTGTGGTCAGATGTGGGCTTAACTTGGGTGGGCAGCACTGCCAGGGACTCCTGCCTGAGCCCGCCCCGCCCTCCCCCTGCAGGTGCTGATCCCTGTGTTTGCCCTGGGCCGTGCTCAGGAGCTGTGCATCCTGCTGGAGACCTTCTGGTAGGTGTGGCCAGACTGGGTTCTGGGACCCCTGGCCTAAGTGGGCATCCTTGAGATGCCTGTGTCCAGCCTGGGAGGGTCCTCAGTCTGGCTCTAGGCAGAACACAGCCTGTATCCCTAGCACATGTCAGGTCGGGGTATCTGATACCTGCGGGGGTGCCCGCCCAAGCCAGGAGGCCTGTGTTGTGCTTTTCTACACAGGCACCCCCACTGCACCATGTGCTCTGGGTCCCCTTCATCAGAACGAGCGTTTTATAGAAGGAAGTGGGCCGAGGTGGGGGACATCAGGGAGTTGCTCTTCTGCCAGACACAACCCAGGCTGAAGGTGTGAAGGGTGACGTGGGCTGGTCCTTCCCTGGGAGCCTCCTCCACTGTAGTCCCTGCACTGTCCACAGGGAGCGCATGAACCTAAAGGCCCCCATTTACTTCTCCACGGGCTTGACGGAGAAAGCCAACCACTACTACAAGCTCTTCATAACCTGGACCAACCAGAAGATCCGTAAGACCTTTGTCCAGAGGAACATGTTTGAATTTAAGCACATCAAAGCCTTCGACCGAGCATTTGCTGACAACCCGGGTCCGATGGTGAGGCCCTGGCCAGCAGGGGCTGGGGATGTCTAGCTGGTGCCTGTTGTAGCCAAGTCGTGCTTGCCCCGGGCTGGGGCATGTGCTGACTGTCCGCACCTCCTCCATGTCTGGGACATGCGAGGAGACTTTGCCTGCAGCTCTCCCTCAGGAAGTGGGGTGCACTGTGCTGGGGGAAAGACGAGGTGGGGGTCAGAAGGTAGGGCCTGTGGCAGGTGCAGGGTCAGAAGGCTCTGAGGGCAGAGGAGCTGGGCCCATGGCCAGTGCTGGTTCTTTGACAGGCGGGCTACTGTCCTGCCCGTGCCCCCACCCCACAGGTGGTGTTCGCCACACCAGGCATGCTGCATGCTGGCCAGTCGCTGCAGATCTTCCGGAAATGGGCAGGGAATGAGAAGAACATGGTAAGAGGTCCACCTCCCAGGAGGGCCGGCCGGTTGAGGTTGGGCAGAGGTGGGGGAGTAGGGCTGTGTTTGGCTTTTGGGGACACTTGGTGGTCAGGACAGGGCTCAGTAACCTGGGGGGCCCAGTGTCCCATCTGGTGGCTCAGACTCTTGCGTTGGGTCAGCCTGTTGCATCAGGCAGGGATGTGTCCTGAGCTGATGTGGTGCTCAGGCCTGGGTGGGCTTGTCCGGGTGCAGTGGGGTCTGGGATGGGGAGCTACTGGCAAAGGAAAGGGGCCATGAAGGGCACAGGTTCAGATAGGCAGGGTGGAAGCCCCGAGGCAAGACTTGGCCACCGTCCCCGCAGGTCATCATGCCTGGCTACTGTGTGCAGGGCACCGTGGGCCATAAGATCCTCAGCGGGCAGCGCAAGCTGGAGATGGAGGGGCGGCAGGTGGTGAGTCCCCGCTTCCCGGCAGCTCCACGGGCCCCTCCGGGGCTGGAGGGGAGCCCCTGGCGCCCGCTACTTGTGCTAATGGTCTGGGTGTCCGGGCGCCACAGCTGGAGGTCAAGATGCAGGTGGAGTACATGTCCTTCAGCGCCCACGCGGATGCCAAGGGCATCATGCAGCTGGTGGGCCAGGTGGAGCCCGAGGGCGTGCTGCTGGTGCACGGGGAGGCCAAGAAGATGGAGTTCCTGAAGCAGAAGATCGAGCAGGAACTCCGTAGGCAGCCCGGGCACGGGGGGCTTGGGCCAATAGAGGGGATGTGGGCAGGGTCCCCCCCCGGGGTCAGCACAGGCAGGGCCGGACGGCCTGGACTGAGGCTCTCTGCCGCTCCCCCTCTTGCCCAGGGGTCAGCTGCTACATGCCAGCCAACGGTGAGACGGTGACGCTGCCCACGAGCCCCAGCATCCCCGTGGGCATCTCGCTGGGGCTGCTGAAGCGGGAGATGGCGCAGGGTATGCAAGGCAGGGCACGCCGGGCAGGGGTGGGGCCGTGGCGCGGCGGGCGGCCCGCTCCTATCCCTGCCCCTTTCTCCACAGGGCTGCTTCCTGATGCCAAAAAACCCCGGCTCCTGCATGGCACCCTGATCATGAAGGACAGCGTGAGTGTGCCTGTGCTGGGGGGGGGGCTGAGGGGTGCCCCCACCCCCCCTGACCTGCTCTTGCCCCACAGAACTTCCGGCTCGTGTCCTCAGAGCAGGCCCTCAAGGAGCTGGGCCTGGCTGAGCACCAGCTGCGCTTCACCTGCCGCGTGCACCTGCACGACCCTCGGAAGGAGCAGGAGACAGCCCTGCGGGTCTACAGCCACCTGAAGAGGTGGGCACCCCGTTCCTTCTGGCTCGGGTTGGGAAGAAGTGGGGCACGAGGTGGGTCTCACTGTGCCTCCCGGCAGCGTCCTCAAGGACCACTGCGTGCAGCACCTTCCCGATGGGTCCGTGACTGTGGAGTCCATCCTCATCCAGGCTGCTGCCCACTCAGAGGACCCAGGCACCAAGGTGCTGCTGGTGTCCTGGACCTACCAGGTGAGGGCTGTGCCCCAAGGAGCCCCACTTCCAGCCCCAGGTGTGCTCAGGGAGGACGTGCTGACGGTCTCCTCTTGCATCTGGCTCTAGGATGAAGAGCTGGGCAGTTACCTCACATCGCTGCTCAAGAAGGGCCTCCCCCAGGCCCCCAGCTGAGGTCAGCGGGTCAACAGAGGGACCTAGGCTTTCGTTCTAGGGCTGTGTCTGTGCCTCAGCTCTTCCCTCTTTGTCTCTGGACGTGGAGTCCCCGGCTGCTCACGGCTTCTGTCTGTGAGGACAAAACCACAGTGTCCTGTGCCTGCCCAACTGGCCGCTCTTGGCTGAGGAAAGAGACAGGCCTGGGGACTTGATTTCTATTCTTTATTTCTATTCCCGAGCCCCCAGCGGGTGGAGGGACACTCCTGAGGTGTTCATTTCCAGTAAAAACGGAACCAGCAGCTGTGTGGCTGTGCCCTTCTTGATGCACAAACCTTTTGCCTGCAGTTCACCCGTAGCAGCCCGGGGTGCCCAGGAAGGTGGGGATGCCGGGCAGGGACTGGCCAGGGGAGGCAGGAGGCCCATGTGGCATGCAGAGCTGGGCAGGGGCCGGCAGCAGGGCTGTGTGTCCTGGCCGCCTTGACCTCAGCCACGAAATCTGCAGGTTATCTGTGGCTTCCGTGTGGCAAGCCCTGCAGGGCACAGGAGGTTTTCTGCAGAGGCTGGGTCTGGCCTTAAGTCCATAGCTTCATCTGGGCCGCAGAACTCCTGCCTTTCAGGCCCCTCCCTCCTCCCTGAGGAAACTTGCTTTTCCTCTACTGGAAACTTGGTCCTACGGCCCAGGTCAGGGCTCCAGGGGAAGGAGGCACCTTACTCCAGGCCTCTTGCTTTTGGGCTGCCGGTCTCCAGGTGGGGATTCTTTGGCCAACCTGGGGTTTCCTCACTTTCCCGCTGAACGGAGGCTGGATTCTCACCTGCTAGCAGGACGGAGGAGGGCTGCAGCTGTGCTGTCACCGAGAGCCCCGCCCCCACCAAGCATCCAGCATCAGGAGGGGTTAGTCAGTGGGACGCATGCAGGCCCCTTACCAAGGCTCCCGTACAGCACGGACTTGAGGAATAAGCCATGGGCCGGGGCCACACGTGCCTGGTGCCTGCCCAGGGGGTCCCGGCTTTCCAGGATCACCTTCACCTGAGCAGGCATCAAAGTCCCCAGCCCCACAGCCACCAACACAGCCGTCATTCTCCGCACCTGCAACCCAAAGCCAAGACTGCCACAGGCGCCCGGCCCTCAGGCCGCCCTGCCCCCAGGAGGCCCAGGACAGAGCCCACCTGCTTGTACAGGAAGGACTGGCTCTCAAACTCCAGGTTCCAGAACTGCAACCTAGAAATACAGGCAGCCCGAGTCCACACTGTGGCCCCAGACAAGGAGGTGGCCAGGGGGAGGGATCTGGGGGAGATTGGCTCCCACTCTCTTCCACCCCAGGGGCTTCCACTGACCACCCTATCCTCAAGTGAAGCTGTTGGGAGGGACAGTGTGAGTGGGAGGGGCAGCAGAGCCTTCTGGGGGTCTTGGCAGTGAGGACAGGGCCCTCAGTTGGAGGCGCAGCTGAGGCGGGGGTCCTGGGGTGGGCTGGGGCATCTAAGGGAGGTGAGTGCGGCCCCTCATCTAGCAGAGACCCAAGCCCCGGTCTAGGTGCTCTTCAGCTGACTATACGCAAGTTCCTCCTCTCTTCAGTGTTGGTTCACACTGGGAAGGTTCTGGAAGTCAGTAGCTGACAACTGGCCAGAGCCCCAGGGACAGTGCTGGGGGCAGTGGAAACAGCCCCCTGCCAGGTAGGGCTGGAACCGCTGGCCTGGTGCTGCTGCTTCAGCAAAGCCTTTTCAGTAGTTGCCAAGATCCATCTACTAGACAACGAACGCTGGGCAGGGCAGGGCAGTGAGCCCTTGGACAAAGCATTTTCTGTTCTCTGTCCCCCCGCCCCGGACATGGCAGGAACCCACCCTGGGGGGAGGGCACAGCTGTTTGTTCATGGTTGTTGGGGCCATGCCACTCAGCTGACTCGTATCCCTCCATGAAGACTAGCAGGGGGTCCCCAGCCCCCACTGTGTCCTGCCTCTATACCACCCTTGCCAGGGAAAGTGCTAAACCCAGCTCCCTTAGTCTCTGACCAGTGTGCGGGGTGTTCTTCCTTACCTGTTCTCCTGGGGGAGGATGAAGAGGCTGCCTGGGTCAGGGGCCACGGAGGCTCGGCGCAGTGTGCGCACCGAGCTCGTGGCGGGGCTGCCAGCTGACTGGAAGGCACCGAAGTCGTGCGTCCCCAGGAGGTGCTGGGCAGCCTCCTGCATGGCGACCACATCCAAGCAGCTGCAGGGAGCCAGGGGACTGGTCGGGAGGGAGTAGCCAGCCAGGTGGGTCTGACACCCCCTCCCACCCCCTCCCATCCACACTCACTCTGCCTGCAGTCCCCAGCACCGGTTTCGCTCAAACACTGACAGGTGGTCAGGCCGATGGCAGCCAGTGACCAGACGGTACAGGTAGGTCCTGGATGTGGCTGCATGGCGGGCATGGAAGTCACTGGGTACTCGGAAAGCTTGCAGTACCCTGTGGGAGCAAGATTAGATACACCAGAAGGATCCTGCCACCCACCCAAGTGACCCCTTGGTATCTCTATCACACCCAGAGAGTCCTTCCTGACTTAAGGCTTCCACCCACCGTGGACCAGTCTGGAGACAGCAGATGGGCACTCACCGTATGGCCGGGTGCCTTAGGTGGGCATTGAGAGCCTCTGCCAGGACCTCTGGGGAGAAGGGGGGTTGGCCTGAGCGGCGCTGGACGTCCAGGTGAGCCGCGTTGCACAGGGCGTGGACCCCGGCATCCGTGCGGCTGGAGATCGTGAACTTGACCGGCACCACCGAATTCAGCCGCTTCGCAGCCTCCTGCGGGGACAGAGCAGCCTGGGGCGGGGTGGGCAGCGCGGGGGCTCCCATCTGCCTCTCCCTCAGGTCCCCCTCTTTCCACTCCGGGCGGCCGGCCGGCAGAGCTCACCTCCAGGTAGTTCTGGACCCCGACGGCGCGCTGGGAGCCCCTGACGGCCGCGACCCCGCTGTGGGCGGAGGCGGGCTCGGGTCAGCGGCCGGAGTTCGGGCCGTGCCCCGCCCTCTGCGGCCCTCCAAGTCTGTTCCCTCCCCGGGGCGTCCCACCGGGTGACCGGAGGTGCGGGTCCTAAATTTAGCTCCCCCCAACTGCCACGTCGGGCGCCGGGATACACTTCGGGGCCGCGGGAACGGATGGGAGGTCCGGAAGACGTACTTAAATTCCGTGCCCAAGTACTGGAAGTACACGAGGTAGCGCGCCGTCCCCGAGCCTGCTGCAGGGCCCATGGCGGGAGTCCGCGGAGCGCGGCCAGACTCAACGGGCCCAGGCTCCGCGGGGCCACACGTGCGCCCTGCGCTCGCGCGTGCGCGCGCGGAGGAGCAGTGTGGCCACGCCCCCGGCTGCGCCCGCGCCCGCGCCTGCGCCTTAGCGTTTGTCCGCCTCGGCAGTCCGGCCCTCACCCGCCCTCTGGCCTCTAGGGGTGGGAGCGGGGGCGGGGCCGAACTAAGGGAGTGGGTGCAAAGTTCAGAGTCGCGGAAGAGCCCGTGGGCCGGATTCTGACCGCGGCGCCCAGGAGGAGCTCCCGTGGGCGTGCACTCCTTCGTCCGTCCTCTCGCCTGCTCACCCACGCCCTACTGCCCCGGAGTGGGTCGGTCCCCACGTTCCGCGCGAGCGGTTTTTTGCAAATGCCCCGAGTTGCGCAACGGCCGCACCGCTGGCGCGAGCAGTCCCGCCCTCCTGGCGCCCCGCGGACAGTCCGGCTGTAGCTGGGTCCTACTCCCTTCCCAGCCCGCGGTGGCCTGGGAACTAAAGGGCGGGACGACGGGGCGTCCCGGCCGGAGCCAGGCGTGGCCGAGCCGCAGGGCGAGGCGTTTGGCGACGCTCCCCGGCCGTGACAGCGGGAGGCGCGCGCGGGCGGTGAACATTGGCGACGCTCCCCGGCCGTGACAGCCGGCGGCGCGCGCGGGCGGCGGACTTTGGCGACATTCCCCGGCGGTGACAGGCGGGGCGGGGCGGCGGCGCGGCGGCCTCAACCCGGGGCGGGCGGGCGCCGAGCGCGGCGCGGGCGGGCCGGCTGCGGGACGAGCGGGCCGGCCGGGGATGCTGCTCGGAGCGCCGCGGTCCTCGTGCCAGTGAGCGCCGCGCGCCGCCGCAGCCATGACGGTGGAGTTCGAGGAGTGCATCAAGGACTCGCCGCGCTTCAGGTGCGCCCCCGGAGGCGGCGCGGCCCTTTGTGGTCGGCGGGGGTCGCCACCCCCTCGGGGCGCCCGGGGCCGCCGTGGGTGGGCGCAGAGAGGGGGGTGTCGTTACGGCCTTTGTGGCGGGAGCGGGAGCCGGTGATGGGAGCTGGAGGACCCCGCCTCGGACAAAGCCCGCAGCCCGGGGCCCAAAGGCCTTGAACAAAAGATGCCCCTTGTGCTGGTCACCTCGCGCGGAGGTTGTTCGCGTGGGGGTGGGGTGTCCGCCGGCATAGACTCGTCTCCGTGGGAGCGTCCGCCCCAGCATTGTGTCTGCACCTTCGTGCCGGCTACCTGCACGGGGCTGAGAATCCCCTGGCCCTGCAGTCCGGCTCTGGCTGGGGCTGTCTGGGTGCGTGGATCGCCTGTCCTGGGGAGAAGTGCACGGGGGTCAGGCAAGTGGAGCCACGTTTTCAGCCTGGGGCCAGCTGCTTGGCAGGGGTGACCTAGGGGCCTGGAGGGGTGGGCGTTTGGGGTAGGGGTTCTGCACTGTGCCCAGCACCGGGTTGGTCTCTTTGGTCCTTCCCAGGAGTGCAGGCATGTTCACCCCTGGGCACCTGGAGCCCCTTCTGTGTGGCAGGTGCATGTGTGGGAGCTCCGCTCCTCTGGCCCCCCTGGAGGTGCAGACCCTGGGCGTGAGTGTGGGTGGGCTGCCCCCCAACCCGGGCTGATATGCTTGCTGCATGCACGTGTGCCTGTCCCTCCCTAACGCTCTCGTGGGTACCTACTGGTGCTATGCGTTTATCCTGCACACATGAGCTTTGGCACACAACACACGTTAGTCTGTTCCCGTGTATCCCGGCACTAGGCCTACGTGTGCTTGCACCTGTGTGTGTCTTGCCCGTGGGCACACATGTCTGTGTACCCTGTGTCACTGCGTCCAGGTACGTTTGCTTGCACATGAGCACATGTGTGTTTGCTCATACGTGTGTGTGCCTGCTGAGTCTTGGGTGTGCCGGCAGACCTGCGTGTGCGTGCACTGGTGAGCCTCAGCATTGGTGCCCTTAGCCCTGCGTCCCTTGCCTTGCACAACCATCACACAGAGGAGAAAATGCTTGGGGACGCTAGGGATGAGGGGCCAGAGGTTGGCCCAGGGAGGGGCCCCAGCGCAGAGCGTTTGGGGGTGATTCTCTGCATCGTCCCATCTGCTGTTGCTGACTGATTGGGGGGGTGTGTGAGCAACTCCGGCACCCACAATCCTGGGCTTGCACCACTGCCCACTGTCCTCCAGGACCCAGGCTAGGGGGGGAAGGTGTAGCCAGGGCCTCAGCTGTGGCCTTGGTCCTGACTGACGCACCCTGGTCTCACCTTGACTCGTTGCTCAGATGCCCTGTGCTCCTTCTTCCCGAGTGGTCGGATTGGGGGCATCGGCACCCCACTCACCTCCAGGCCTTCTCTCCTATACTAGCCTGGTCTGTCTGTGGCCCATGGGGGCGCAGTGCCTGCCTGTGTTTTGCCTCGCTCCCTCTGGCGGGAGGGGCTACCCCAGGAAAGTGCCCATCTGGGCCCAGGATGGGGGCTGAGGAGATTCATCTGAATGACTCTTGGGCCACAGAAGCCACACTGTGTGGGTTTCAGGGTTGGGCCGAGATTCAACAGGGGTTTGAGGTTCTCCTGGGGTCCCACTGTCTCCTCACCCTCACCCTGTCACTGCAGGGTAACCTGGGACTTCCTGGGGGCAGGCCTGGAGAGAGCCACAGTGGGGCTGGGGGGCAGGCTGTGCTCAGTGATGTGGGGCCAGGTGGCCCCAGCTCTGGGAAGAGGGACCATGCCCGCATGCCTGTGGCCTGGGGAGAGCCCCACAGCCCTGGGGTGCATGGGGGAGAGTCCAGACCCTTCCAGACAGGCCGGGAGGTGCCCCCTCCCCTGGGTGGGGCTTCAGGCGCTGAGTCATGGCTTTGGTGGGGAAGCCTGCCTCACCCTCCTCCTTGTCATCCAAGCTGCTGAAGAAATCCCAGAGGGAGGGCGGAAGAGGAGGCCTTGGGTCCTTGGAGGCTGGGGCTCCCCTGATGGGGTGCGGGTTCTTGGCTCTCTGCAGAACACCCTCCTTGCCCCCGTGAACACATTCATCAGCATCCGGTGTGGCCCCACCCTCGTCGGGGGGGCCCCCTCCTTGCCGGAGTGCAGCAGCTCTCTGCAGCTGCTGGGTTGCGGGGGCGCTGGGGTTGCCCGGGGTCCAGCAGCGTCTGCTCCCAGGGGGTGGTCTGTCCCTTCTCTGGAGCTCAGAGTTCCCTTAGCCCTGTTGGGAGGAACATGTGTCCTGTCGGGGAGAGTGGTGGGAATGTCCAGTCCCTGGCTGGAGCGCCTGCTTCCCTCCCAACAGCTCCAAATTGTGGGCCCGCGGAACGGTACGCCTCCTGTGAGGGACAGTCCCTGACCAGAACCCTGACCCAGTTCCCAGGCCTGGGAACCCCTGGAACGCAGCGCCCCCCACTGCGGGCCATGGGGGCAGTGAGGGCCCCTATACCTGGATGGCCTTGCCTCTGCCCCGCCCCCACCCGAGACCTGTCCCTGGAGGCCTGCCTCTCACTCCTGGGCCCCCACTGTCACCCCTGGCCCTCGTGCCCTGTTGTCCTTCATCCCCAGGAGGCCAGATGGGCCCAGTTCACCAGCTGATCGGGTTGGGGGGGCGGTGGGGTGGGTGGTGCTGGGATCCTGGCCCTCTTTCCCTATTTCCTGTTCCCAGAACAGGGGAGGGGGTCACGTGCCTGAGCCGTCTGCCTTGCCTTCCGGGGATTCTCGCGACTGTGGCTTCTCTGGTGATGTCATTCGTTAACTCTTCCCTCCCTGCAGCAGCCCCATTGTCAGGCTGCTGTGGTGGGAGGGGGCTCCCCTGAAGCTTGTCCCACCGCTCCCTTTGGGCAAACTGTGCTGTTTGGTGTTCTGAGGTTGGAGGAGCCAGGAGGCACCCGTTCTGCTGCTGCCCGAACTGGCGAGAGCTGCTGGCCACTGCGTATGGGCCCTGAGACTGGTCCGCCCCAGGGTCCGAGGGCCCATGGTGGGGCTGAGGTGCCCTTGGAGAAGGGCAGTGGCCGGGCTAGGAGAGTGGCCAGCCAGTGGCATCCCCTCCCTCTATCCCCGGGGGCGTGTCTGACTTCTCCCTGGGGCCACAGCAGCCAGACCCCAGATGGGGACATTACAGCTGGCCAGGCCCCTTCCTGCCTGGGGTGGTGGTGGGCACTGGGTGGCTTTGGAGTCAGCTGGGCCAGGGTCCAGCCTCACCCTCTTCCCAGGGGCGCGTCTGCCTTTCCCAGCTTCCATTTCCTGCACGTCTGGGGAGCATGGGACAGCGGCCGGCTGACATTAGCAGGTAGCCGGAAGCTAAGCAGTCCCTTCCTACCGCACGCACATTGTCCCAAGGAGGCGAGGGGCACAGGGCACAGAAAGCCCCGCCTGACCTGAGCCTTGGCCCCTGCGTTGGCGGCTGGGCCTGCAGCCACCCTCGTTCCCGTTGCAGGGCTACCATTGACGAGGTGGAGACGGACGTGGTGGAGATGGAGGGCAAACTGGACAAGGTGAAGGTCCCGGGGTGCTTCTCTGCCCCCGCGCCGGGTCCTGACTCGTTCCTGCACAGACACGCGTGTGTGCGAGAGTGTGTGTGTGTGTGTATGTGTGTGCACGGGGCATGCCCCTCTGTGTGCGGTGTACAGGGCCTGGGGCTGTCCCTGTTTCTCCCACTGTGGCCTACCACTGTACCTATCCCAGGACACCCATGCTGCTTGCCTATGTGAGTCTCCCATGAAGTGCGGGTAGGCCTTGGTGTGCCCCTCCCACCATCTGTGGGGCGAGGGGTGCTGAGGATGCTTCCCAGGGACAGGGTTGGGGGAGGAGAAGAGGGAGAAAGGAGGGGCAGCATCCCTGAGCTCCCTCACTGGCTGATCCTGCCAGCCCCCAGCTCCCGCCCTGGGTTCCCCTGCTCTGGCCTTCTGCTCTGGAGCCCCTCACTGTCCTCCCAGCTACAGTGGGTCAAAGAGAGGGCTGACTCCTCAGGCACAGCTGTGTCCCAGGCACTGACGGGCCCTGAGCAGAATTCTGGCCGCCCCTGGGCGGTTCCCACCTCTGTGGCCTGGCTTCTTAGAGGAGGTGAGGGTTGCCCCGGGAGGCAGCGC